AGAAGATCCATCCTTAAGTCCTCACTGTTTTGTTTTAGTCACGTTTTCCACGACAAGAATGGCAGTGGCTCACTCTTCAAACCTCATAAAAGTGACTCTAAAAGTTTAGTCATTTTTCACAGAAGGATTACTAAAAATTAAACTTTCACCTTAAACTATTGATGATATGAAAAAAGATAAATAACCAGAATTATCTCTAGTTGAGAAGGTCGCCCTGGACCCAATGCAAAGGAATGAAGCGATCCAGTGGCATGAAAAAAAGTAAGAAGAGGAGGCCATGGCAGTCTGCTGGAGCTTTAAAGAGTCTGTAAGAGCTTAAAGAGAAAAGGCCTCCGGTAGCAAAGGGTTGTAGAGTAACCTGGGGGCCAGAGGACAGTGGCCTGGCATTAACAACATATTCTTCTTGCAAACCACCCCCAACTTCTATGCTGCTCTTTTAAGAAGAAATCGCTTCCTTTTTTTTTTTAATTTCTTTTTCTGTTCAAGGTTACTAGTGATAATAGTTTTGATGAAGTGTTTTTGCCTCTAAAGTGTTACAATAAGACACAGGTCACATTATTACCCAAGTGACATATCTAAGTACATCTCTCTGGGGACCTCTGGTCCTGTCTGCTTTGGGGAATTATTTCCAGACAGGGAAGCGGAGACTGGCTGGTGACCAAATCTGTTTACTTTTCTTCTGAGCTCACAGCCACATTTCTCTCCTTCCCGTGCTTTTAGGTGTGAAAATGTGACCTGACTCTTGCCAAAGAAATGTGGACAGGAGTGATATAAGCCATAAAATGTTGTACTTCCTCTGATCTGCCATTCTCTTTCCTTATTTGTGTTATCTGATGGCTGTATGTCTATGCCCAGGGTATTCTTAGAATACACATATGAAAGGTGGCAGAGACTCCACAAGTCTGGGTCCCTGCAAGAAGTGCTGCCCCTTACCATGTATAAGAAATAAATTCCTATTGTGGTAAGCCAATAACATGTCAGGGAGTGTGTTATAACAGCAAACGTTCTTCTAAAACAGATGGTATCTAGAAATAGGTCACGAGAAAAAATAATGTTGCAACGAAAAATACTGTCAATATTTTTGTATGTCTATTTCCTCCCCCTCTTCTCTTTTTTTAAATTTAACACTCTTATTTATTTCATTTTGTAGGTTTTCACCCATTATCTTTGCTCCATCAGAAATTCCAAAATTCTGCTTAATCTGGCACAAAATCTACATAAACAACATCAGAGGAAACATTGAAACAAATTCCCACTGAATATAGTTCCCTCTTCAAACATGGTAGCTTGAACCACTCAAAATAGAAGGCATAAAAAGACACTAAGGAATCTGTTCTATGTAAGAATTATAGTCAAACTCTCTTTTTCTACCTTTCGTTCCTAGAGACAAACTGGTGTGCAGGGTCCCAAAATGAACCACGCATCCATGACAGCCTAAGGTCATTCTACAATAACTGTCCCCAAACAGCCTTTAAGTACAAGTTAACTCTCCAGGTTTGTTTTGCTTGTTTCTTTGGTTTGTTTTGGTGAATTCTGACTTTATCTAGCCATCCTGGTATTTTGTAGCAATACTGGTTACTACAAGATAAATGGTTTGCTTATTCCATCAACAATAATACCCCATTATTACAGAAAAAGTACCAGTTACTATACATTCATAAGCACATTCTTTGAGCCCAAATAGAAATAAAAATATTTTAATAATTAAGCTGGAATATAATAATTGAAGCCATTAAAGGAAAATTGGCTGAAAAACTCCATGATAATTTTTATATTTTTTTCCTTGACTCAAGAGCCAAAGCTCATACCTCCATACAATTTACTTCCATTAGATGAGAATTAGATGGTTTTTAAATTTGTCTTGAGTAACTGGCAGTATGAAATGCTGTGTGTAGAGCACATACAAGATGTAAGATCTACAGACAATTAAGAAAAGCTTAACATGAACCACAGATAATAGATGGTAGGATAAGATACAAAAAAAGAAGATACCTGCAAAGAAAGTGGTAACACTTAAAACTTACGAGCCTAAAAAAAAAGCCTTGTTGAAATCTAGGGGGAAATCAGCTTAGAAGAGAGATAGATAGGTCTGGGTTCAGATTCTAATTCTGCCTCCTGGTAAATGTGAGTCTGTGCGCAAATTACTTAACTGACCCAACCTTCAGTTTCCTCCTGTGCAAAATGGGTACAATAAGTTCTCTAGTTCACAGAGCCGGTATGAGAATTGGTGTGTAAAGTGGCATGTGGTAGGTAGTTACTATAAATTGTAGGTATTAGCATACCTAGAAAAACTTTACCATTGACTTAGTTATATTGTCTTTTCAATATGAAGTAAAGATAGCAGAGTTTCTCATTTAAAAGTTCTACAGCGCTTTCTTTTCCTAATTCATCTACCACATTGGCAGAAACAGCACTGTAAGTTTAACTTGGCTAAGTCCGCTGCATTCGTCTGTCGATGGGATTCTGGGCCTCACATCCAGCTGACAGTCGCTGACGCCGGATGGAACAGGACAGGAGGCTGCGCAGCAGCATGGTCGCACCTCAGAGGGTTCGCCCTACCAACAACCACATCGTATCTCTGCCAGTCAAGCACAACTGTAGGGCTTGATAGACTGATACAAATAAAAAAGTCACTGAAAACAGGTGTCCTGACTCTCTTCCGGCTACAGTTACAGGACTTGTTTGATTCTGTTACCTGTGAATATTAGAATGGCTCCTCCTTTTTGGATAAAAGGACAGAAAATCCGCATACCCCATTGACTCTAATTTTTTTACTCCTCACCTGAGGATATTTTTTTCCCATCGATTTTTTTTTAGATAGAGTGGAAGGGAGAAAAGAGGGGGTATGGTCACTGCAAGCTACAATAGCCAATAATTGGATATTGCATCTAAATAAATGTAAAATTGATCAATCTATTTAATCATAACAATGCCACTGCTCATTAATTTTTATTCAGATGCAAGAAACATAATGGAAATATTTTATAAGCCCTTAGTCTAAAGAAATATTTGATAAGAAGCAAATACTTCTTGAAAATCATATATGGAAGGTTTAGGAATTGGAGGCTCAGGAGGATTTCATTACAAAGTATTTCACCCATAAGGGCCTCCACTATATGGGGTCCCATGTCCTATGGCTAGACTCCAATGTATTAGTAAAGATAGCATAATTGATATATATGCTTTTCCTCTTTTCCACAATCAATGGTTTTTCATCTTGTCAAATGTGAGCAACCTGAATTATCTTTTAGCCAGTATGAAAACCCATGATTAGACCTTATTTCTTGGATTTGATTCAATTTGCTTAACACAGTTAAGATGGGGCAGTATTAGTGCTGTCTATAGATTAGCTTTCTACATTTTTGGTCATGCTTTTGTTTATGTAATTATTTATATCAAGGAATCTCATTTGACCCACGGCCTGCCAAACCTGTGTACCAACGATTCATGTTATAACACACTTATAATTCGTAAGAAATCAGGACAATGTAGTAAACAGAAAATATTTCAAATCAGACATATATAATTGAATTGCAACTGACTGTGCAGTTTTGAGCCTCCGTTTTCTCACTAAACAATGGGAATAGCAATATCAGAGAGTGGTTGTAAAACAAAATGAAAGTATTAAGTGTCTAGAATATGGCCTGCCATCTATTATGCGTTTAAAATATCCTACTCCTTTTCATATAATAAAAAAAGGAAAAAAAATTGAAATCTTTAGATAGAGAACCTGGACTAATAGATCACCCCAAGAAAGCAAGAGCTGTGTGGCTGTGAAATTTGTGAAGGGCCAGAGGAAATACTAGAATCCTGAAAGTCGCCATGAGGCAGAAATGAGATTTAACTACCTCTTGGTCTGCCTAATACTTACATCCACAAACAGAATCCTTGAACACTCTATTCTGGCTGTAATCTCTACAGTTTCCTCTGGGTAGTAGTGGTTTGTTTCTAGTTTTAAAGACAGAGGCTTAAATAAGAAGCCAAAGAATCAGGCTCTAGGCCTGGGGCATGCCATCTGCCTAGCATTAAGCAAGAACTGAACGTCAGTTACAGAAGCACAGTCATTTCCAACATGATTTATGTTCCACCCTTGAATGTGGCAGGAAGACTGCAAAAGATATTTGGAAGCCAATGCTTCCTCTGAATAAAGTAAACGCGTATAAGCTAAGCCCCTCTCCCCGGACCAGGCTAGCCTGTAAGATAAGTTGCCAAGGTGGAGTCTGTGAACCCCGGAGCAAAGTGGCTATTTGGGATGAAAAAATAGCTCAAGGCCAATGATCATTGCTACTGTAAGAGAACAGTGCACAGTGCAAACGCTGAGGTCAGACAGCAGATATCCAGGATATTACTCAAAAACACATCCAGCTCAAAGCTGACAAGATAATCTGTTCCTGTGGGTGCAAAGCAGACTGGAATGCTGGCGCTGTGACCTACTCAAGGAAAGAAAAAAGAAAGTGCAACTCTCCAAGGGCTCCATCTCATGCTCTCCATGCAGGCAAAACTCCAGCGGACTTCAAAGGGAGTGATGCCTAAGGGGGAGCGCTGGGCCAGGCCTCCAGGGGGTATCATTTCCATGATCATGTTGCCATCTACATTTGGTGGACTGGCAAATGCAAATACTTCAGATACAAGTTTAAACAGATGAAAAAAGAAGTGTGAAAGAGCTTGGAGATTTGCTTGCAAAAAACCCTCATTATTCCAGGAAAAGAATTTAATATCAGAAACTTCATAAGGTATTTCAGCAGTCCCAAAAGAGTCATTGCTTTGTGACGGCATTAAGAATAAAAGTTTTTTTTAGTTGACACATATTGCACTCCGACATATCACATAATCACAAAATAGTGCACTTAAAAAAATAATTTCCCAAAGTTAAGTACTCTTCGAAGGTCAGTAACATTTTTCTAATTGAAATATAGACTATATTTTGAGGTTTTAACCAACTTTTAACATACGTGATCCTGATTAATGTAGAAGAGCCAACATGCAGCAAAGATACTTACAGGAGGACCTATATGGTGGGGGGGCAGGGAGGGTGGAGAAGATAAGAAAAAGGGAGAGATGAATTAGTGAATATACAAAATATTAAGAAAAAAATTAAAGCATCATCATAATCACCAGTACAATACAATGGACAGAGAAGTCAGTGATTCTTAATCTTTTTTTAGAACATGAACCCTTCCACACTATATCAGAAAAATACATTTACATCTACATGCATACAAAATTTATCATAAGGAACATTCAGATTCCCTGAAGCCTGTTTATGAATTACTGAGATGTTCATCTATTTTAAGCAAAGACTGTCTAATTTATATACCTAAAATTTAGATAAACTATGAATCAGGGGGATCTTTGCTCATTTACTATAGACCAATTATAGAGATTTGATTCGTAAACTTTCTTGAGTTTGGTAAAATGGCCAAGTTGGAAATGTACCCATTATTTGTTCTAAGAATGCTTTTCATTCAATAGTATTGTCAATATACAAAGGAAGAAGCCCTGATGTTTATATAAGCTTCTTTAAAACTATGTTTTCTCATCAAAACACCAGCAAATTCTACGAATATTTCAACAGTTCACACACCATGTGTTCAATTAAAACACCAGTTCTAAGTAGTCAGAAAGTTGAGAATCCACTTTTACATTTCCTATAAAACTCTGCACAAAATTTTCACTCCCCCCCCAATCCTCTTTCTTTTGACACAAAGATCTATTCAGTGATTATTTGACTTCACCAATGTTTTATCATTTCTTTTTCCTCAAAACAAATTTATAAAGCATCCTCTATTGTGAAACTGCACTTGTGGAGAAAATACCAATATAACAATCATTTAGATTCAGTGAGGTTTAAGGACAACTTTTGAGAATACTCTTAAAGTAATTAAACAGCTACACTACCCAAATTCTTGAATTTTCTTAAACTCTTTCTACTTTGACATCTTTTTTCCCAAAAGGAATAGGAAATGAGACAAAATAAAATCAATCTGCTCTTTTTGATAGGTTAGTATCTCTACTGTTTCAACCCTTAATAATTCATTGTTTTTAATACAGAAAATTACTTATTGAGAATAACATTTCTTATCACACACCAGAATCAAACTTTAAATTGCCTTCCTCTTATCCTGCAAGTAAGAACCAATGGCTTCACCTGGTCATTTACTATTTTGGAGCCTTAGAGTTTCTATAGAAGTAAAACTGTAAGTGAACTCACTCACTTGGATATCTTGGTTTTAAAAAAAAAAAATTGTTTTTATTCGACTCTTCTGTTTCACTTTGCGTATAGGGATTTGGCCTGAGAGCAGAAACTCACTGAAGTGGGCGTTAGGACAATTGGTTGTGTTTCAAGTTCTGCTCATAAAAATTGCATGGCCTTGGCCAAATCACCTGACTGCTCTGGGCCTCCCTTTCCTCAAATAAAAAATGAAAATGCTGGATTGATTACTAAGACTCCTGTCATCACTAAAATTCTACGGCTGTACAAGAGGAATAAAAATTCTTAAATTTTGAAATGAATGAGAGTAAAAGCATGACAAAATTGTACCAGTTGTACAAAATGACAATAAAGCTTCCCTAGACATGTGCCCCGGTGTCCCAAAGCAGTTGTTTTCACAGAGGACCTGTATTTGTGGACCAACCACTTATGAAGGTGGAAGCATGGATGATGTTGCCACACTGTGTGCAGCTAAGAAACCTCACTATACACTGAAAGGATGGACTTGACACAATAAAGAAGCCAAAATTGGGTGCCAGTGGTTATTAATAATATTTGGCAAACTTCTCCTTTGATGGAAATAAAGAGATAAAAAATATTCTAGGTCTAGAAGAGATTTAAATACACACACACACACACACACACACACACACGGGCAACCTCCAACAAGATGATATAATCATTAATTAGAAGAAACAGATGTGGGAGCGTAAGCAGAACATGAATGACACTGAGCAGCTAAAAGGGAGACTTACCAGATTCTCCTCTTCGGCCCCTCTTACCTCGTTTCCCTGGAGGGCCTGAAATACAAAGAATGATTTATTTTTAATTTTTGGCCCTGAAATGGCTAATAAATAATTTATACATATTTTATCACTGGTTTTAACTAAGAACATCAAGAAAGGGACCAGATATTTGTAGAGGCCACACTGTCTTTGATATTTCAACATAACTCTCCAGCTTCCTTTAGCTGTAAAAGTTGCACTAGATCTCTCACCATCCAGTGTTACTTAGGAACACTAATGACCTGAGATTCTGTTCATCCTGCCCGGATGTCATCAATAAAGAAAGACTTTGCTAAGCAAACTGGTGGTGTTGAGTTTCATATTTCTTAGGAAAAGTTCTTTTCTAAAGGTTTTGGTATAATTAGTAATTAAAAGTACTAAGTACAAATGAGTGGTTTCTCTTCCGTTAGATCCATCATGATTCTCTTAAAAAAATATTTAGTTGACAGTTAGTTAAATGTATATATTAGTAATAAAAACCTTATGAATATTTCTATTTTATTACATGTGAATTTTCATATATTAGAATTTCTCTAATTGAGGACCAGCTGAGTTAAAATCACAACCCTTTTAATTGGAAAGTGTTTACACAGTAACTTATAGGTCTCATTTTACTAAGGGGCTAGCTCATTATTACCATTCAACAAATACTTAATCTTTATGATGATCCCATTTTAAAAGTGGAGAAAAAACTTTTTTTTTTCAGTGAGTTGCCTACAAAGACCACCAACCTAGTATGTATCAGACTTTAGCACAAGATTCTAGACATTCATGGCTTTCAAACCATTATTCTCAATTATATAATTTCTCCCCTCATTTCCTTGGGTAGGAATAGCTCCCACTAAATTATGGTTCCAGCAAATAGAAGAGAATAATTAGCCCACAATGAGAATTGAGGTCTTGTAATATTTGCTGGAAGAAAGAGGCCAAGGAAAATATAGAACTTCCTGGTTTTAAAGAATGAGCTGCTAAGTTGGACGGTGACTTCCAAATCCTACAAAGTTCAAGACACAAGCAGCACAGGCCCTAGCATCCAGCTGACTCTGAATGTGATCCCGAGCTACCGACTTCCACATGGAAACACTATCATGAGAAATAAAAACATCAGTGGGCCAGTTAGTTTCCTCTCAAGCCTGTACACAGAGTAAGTCCGGCCATTTGTGTTTTGTAAGAGGTTAGAAACAATCAAGCAATAAAATCAGTTGAAAATGTTAGGAGAAGCAGCTTTGTAGCAGAGTCCAAAATTGTCATTAGAAATTTCAGATTTCTTTCTGTATTCTGAAATAAAAAGAGGCTTTAATCATGTTCACGGTGTTTTTGGCAAGATTGGGAGCAGAAGGAGTATCATGTAAACAGATAAATAAACCCAGTGGGACCCCAGTAGGTGTAAAAAATATATATTTTTACACACATTCAAACACACATATACATAGATATATACAGGAGTGGGAAAAAGTAGTTTACAGTTGTTCATATGGAAAAATACATACAGATTATGATTATTATAATAGCTTTATGAACTCTGTGTTCCACATACTCACAACTGTAACCTACTTTTGCAAACTCCTGTATTGACATATTTTGATATGTAAAATATCCTTAAGATTAAAATCAGATTTTTTTCTATTACAAAGTCAATTAAGATTTTTTTAATTACAAAATCAATCTAAGAAGTTTTTAGCAACTACGATTTACTTATGATGTCTGTGATCTGCATAGTAGGGGTTATAGGTGATAAATAAGATGTGTATCTGCCCTGAAGAGGCAAAAAAAGTTGAAAAGATTAAAATATAACCATGAAAAATTCACGTAGCATGCTGTGAAGATGGCACAATGAGTTTCACACATGGTCAATTATAAAAAGAAAAAGTGTTTTAGAAGTATTTGTATTCAAAAAGAAATGGAAATGCCTACAGGCAAGAGATGGAGCAGAAATGCAACGTGGAGAACAGGGATAAAACCATGAGCCTTGAGGTTCCAGCTCTACAGGTAGGAATGGGGGCCGCGAATCCTATTCCCACAGAATAAATGCTCAAAGTTCTCTAACCAGAGCCAGACTCACATCTTAAAGTCAGGGACATGGAAATACTGAAGAGCTGCTGAAAAAAAACCTAGGTGTTTGGCTTAAAGGTTGAGGAATACAGACATAATCTCTCAATCAGAAAATAAAGAAAGCATCTGCTGATTTGATACCTAATTCTATGATATCCTCCACATAAATCTGGGACAGGTGTCCTAAAATGACATTTTGAGATAAATATGGTCTAAAAGGATGGGAGGTTAGGTAAAGATAAACATAAAATTTTTAAGTAAGAAAGGGTGAGCACAGTCCTGTCAGAGTGGTTCAGTGGTTGAGCATCAACCTAGGATCCAGGTTTGATTCCCGGTCAGGGCACATGCCTGGGTTGTGGGCTCGATCCCCAAGTAGGGTGAGTGCAGGAGGCAGCAGATCAATGACTCTCATCATTGATGTTTCTATCTCTCTCTCTCCCTGTCCCTTCCTCTCTCTGAAATCAATAAAAATATTTTTTTTTAAAAAAGGGTGAGCACAAAGGAAAGAAAGTCAGACAGAGAAAACTACACACACACACACACACACACCACAAAACAAACAAGCAAATAAAATAAAAAAATACCTCTCCTATTCATAATGAATATAGAAGTCAAAATTCCAAAAAATGTATGAAGAAATCTAATGCTAAGAAAGACAGCACTCAATAATAAGATCATGAATTCTTTCCAGGTAAAATTAATTAATTTTAAGAAAACATCAGACACAAGTTGGTAAGTTAATTAAGCTTTAAGAGCTAAATGAAGAAGTAACATCCATTAAAGGGCAGGATTTTAAATGTAAACAGAGGATGGGAAAAGAATATGTAGATTTGAAAGAGAACCCTTTAGAAGTCTTGAAAATGAAAAATAGTCATCAAAATAAAAATGAAAAAAGATAAAACAATTAAGTGCTGGCCTGGCCTGGATATGGCTGAAGAAAGAATTAATGTGAAAGATGCAGAACACAGCCCAGGGAGATAGGTCCAATATCTATCACCAACTTTATCTATCTATCACCTATCTATCATCTATCTATCTATCATCTATCTATCTATCTATCTATCTATCTATCTATCTATCTATCTATCTATCTATCTATCTATCTATATCTATCATCTATCATCATCTATCTATCATCTATCTATCTATCTATCTATCATCTATCTATCTATCTATCTATCTATCTATCTATCTATCTATCTATCTATCATCTATCATCATCTATCTACAATAGTCTGAATGTTTGTGTATCTGCAAATTCACATGTTGAAATTCTAACCCCTGAAGATGATGGTATTAGGAGGTGGGGCTTTCAGGAAGGGCTTAAGTCATGAGGCTGGAGCTCTCATAAATAGGATTAGTGCCTTACAAGTGACCCTGTAGAGATTTCTAGCCCCTTCCACTATGTGAAGACACACTGGGAAGGCGCCAGTTATGAACCAGGAAGAGGGCCCTCAGGAGAAGGCAACCATAATGGCTCCTTGATCTTAGACTTCCCAGCCTCCAGAACAGAAAGAAATAAATTAAATTTCTGTTGTTTATAAGTCACCCAGTATTTTGTTAAAGCAGCCCAAACGGACTGACTCTATCTATGTATCTATCTATGTTAAGAAACAAAATTTTACTTATATCAATAAAAGAACCGAAAAGAAATTACAGAGAAGCCTTTTTGTAAAAGATAATAGATAAGATTTTCCAGAATTGAATACAAGAGTCCTAAGACTGAATTTATACTCTAAGAGGCAAGTTAAAATAAATCAAAATTAAGCACATGGAAGAAGAAACTTAGGAACATTGGAGGATAAAGATAAAATGCTAGGAACTACCAGAGGAAAAATTACAATAGGAAATGTTTAGACTGATTGCTATCTCACCATAACAAGATGCCACAGGGCCCTTGATTTTTATAACAAGTCTTAGAGCCTATAATTATATTTGTTTATTGGAATTAGTTTTTAATAGTATAATTTGTTAGCTAAAAACAATAGATGGCAAAAATATTTTAAAATAGTTGGAAGTAAACTTTAAAAACTGATATTTAAAAGAAATCAGCTTATGAAAAAAAAGATCAAAAAAGCAATGATTTTTTTTAAAGAAACCAAAAACAAAGTTAGAATATTTCTGAACATGTCTGCCTCAAATATCCAATGAGAAGGCTTAGAGAAATTAATCAAATGCTGGGGGAAACCTGCTTATTATACTGAGAATTGAAAAAATAGAATCCAAGGAAAGTAAAGATATTTGGCAAGGCAAATATCTATTAAATACGACAAGGTTTTACAAAGAATTTCATCATATTTGAGAGCGAGAAAAATGAAGCTAAACTAAGTTATGAGAAGATGGGAATCTAAACTCTATTGGATTGACAAAGAAAATATTAGATTTGAGAAGAGCATGCTATAATTACTATAGAAAACAGGATTGGAGTAGGCATTATACTGAGTTTAAGGAACTAATAAATTATACAAAACTTTCAGTAAGACATAGATAAAATCTTGCTTACAAAAGAATAAAGAGAAGTTTGGAAGAAGTCTACCGTGCAAATGAGACAATTTGATATTGCTTCTGAATTTAAGAGTATAAGTAATAAAAATGATATGGATGGAATAAATTTGACAATGGACAGCTGGCAGATCACCAGAGTGAGAAGACGAAGTAACAGAAAAGACAAATGATGGCCGTTTCCCAGACAAAACTGATGTTAACAGTAGTTGAAAAAGCGGCCATTTCCATTCCAAACTGAGGGATGAGGTATCGGCCAAACATGAGCTGTAAGAACAAATACAGAAGCTGGAACCTGACTGTTATTTACTGAATTTGGCCAGATCCTTGCGGCAGAAATTGTCAGTAAATTCTATCAGCAGAAAGACATGACTCTGCAAAAGAAATTGGTTCATGAACATGAATGGGAAGAGAAAAAGCAGAAGCTATCAGCAACAGAGGAAGCAAAGCCTTACAAGCAG